CGATCATCAATGTGTTTTATGTCACGATCATCAATGCGTTTTATGTCACGATCATCAATGCGTTTTGTACGTTAACATTCGGTGTAATTAAACAGTCTTGAGAATGAATTTCCCTCGCCTTACGGCTCGCGAAATTTAACATTCTCTCGACTGGTATTTTTCGCAAATACTTCTCCTTAACATGATATATCTGTTCAATATCCTCTTATATAGTTCATATTTTTCTGCTTTTCATATATCTGATTTTGAGCCCCCTGAAAAGATAATTATTTTTAACAAACAACTGATCGCCTGGTTCGACAACATTAACTTCTATATCTTCTTATTTTTGTTCACAATTTTAATCTATTTGAAAAAAAATCAGTATTATTCCTCGTCTACTCTCATCTTACTGCAACAATTGTAATAATTTTTAATATAAACTAAATATTGAACAAAACAAATTCTTTTCAAATATATTAATTGCTTTGTTACAAAAACTAAACAATAAAATCTTGTGAGTTCTGTGTATGTAAATTAAAATGTCAGAAAACAATTTGCCACTGATTATTTGCAATCTAATTATGTGTACTGAAATATTTATGTGTAACAGTATTTCTAAAATCCATAAAACACAGTCAGTAATTTATTATAATTCGTGTACAATAATTCGGTCGTCAGACAAGTTCTTGCAGTGAAAACAAAAAATGTTTGCCTAAATGAAAGATCGAGAAAATGTTAAATGGATAATGTTCTGGTAATTCATATATAATTAGATGATGAATCCTATAAATAGATTTCGTAATTTGTAAAAATCAAGATAATGCAAAGTCTTTTTCGTCTCGGCGTGCTGAGTGTATTGGTTTGCAACTTGCATAATTACTTATGACGTTTTGTGTTTTCATAGATGTTGTGTTATTCATCAATCCAGTGAATTTCTCATTACACCCTATTGTTATTTTGAATATGTATCAGCACGCTTGCATTTACATGATTGTATTTGCAAAACCATTTCAACAACATAAAGAACATTTAGTAAGTAATTGAAAATACAAACTTTGCATCAAATATTTAAAAAAAAAGTTTACATTGGTTAACATATGAATGATATACAATTAGAAAATAAAAATAACACTTTATATGTTTCGTGCGACAGAAGAGCTTTTTCTGGATTTAGCTTCATCGGGACCGCTAGTACTCAATCATTTGAAAGCCAGAGATGTGTACATGGCATAGTAGGTTGTATATCATTGTAACATAAATACGCATAAAGATCACAATCAAGGGTCATAGAAGGGTTGGAGGTTAGTATTTCAATAGCGTAAGCTATAAGTTTGATTAAGATATGTATGCTGCAATATAATTCATATTTTCTTGTTTTAATTTTTTATTGGAAACAACGTTATAACTTCAAAACAAATAGTCATGAAAGAAGCATTTTTTATGTTTGTTTATATGAGTATGTGGATATAGTAGAATTACTGTATTTCAAGAATTGCCCCTTTAGAAAATAAACATATCTACAACAGCTGCACATATTACCTAGATTGTTGACCATCAGTTACATGGAATACAAAATAAAACAATTTACCTTCGAGTTATACATGTAATATAATAACTGAACAAACGACATGTTATCATCTGTGACCATCATTAAATATTATATACATATATAAATGTTCTTGGAAATATCTATCTTTGAACTTGTAAAATTTTGGAAACAGTTTATATATATATAGGGTCTGCCATTAAGGTAGGTAAATTTTTTTATCGATTCAGGAAAATTATATATCGATAATGATGTTGATCGCATGGTATTTAATTTACAAACTCCATGTCAAAAGAAAAGGTGTGGAAAGGCCACTTTTTCAAACCTTCGATTCAAGAATAAAAAAATATTATATATAAAATTGAGAATGGAAATGGGGAATATGTCAAAGAGACAACAACCCGACCAAAGAGCAGACAACAGCCGAAGGCCACCAATGGGTCTTCAATGCAGCGAGAAAAATCCCGCACCCGGAGGTGGTCCTCAGCTGGCCCCTAAATAAAATTGTGTGCTAGTTCAGTGGAAATGGACGTCAATCTAAACTCCAAAACATATAAATGAACTAAAATTAAAAAACATACTAGACTAACAAAGGCCAGAGGCTCCTGACTTGGGACAGGCGCAAAAATGCGGCGAGGTTAAACATGTTTTGTGAGATCTCAACCCTCGAAACACATATCAATTCGCACAGTAAAACTCAGTTTAAAAGAAGTCCGAGTCCGATGTCAAAATAAGTAACAAAAGAAACTAAGCAAAATGACAATGATACATAAATTAATAAAGGACTACTAGCAGTTACTGACATGCCAGCTCCAGACCTCAATTAAACTGATTGAAAGATTATGTCTTCATCATATGAAAATCAAGTACAATCCCTCCCGTTAGGGGTATAATATCATACCATCATAAAATATATGAAAAGAACATAACCCGTATCATGCCAACAACTGGTTTTAGAATAAATGTGTTTATTTCCGATGCAAAGACCCTATGAGTGAATCAATATTAATACCAAAATATGCAATCCTTAATGACTTGACAACAGTATCGTAACTATATTCTTTTCGAATAAGTCTGTTTAAAGGTTTGGTTAGCTTTTGAGGTGAATGCCGACATTTTTGTGCTTTGTAAAGAATATTACCATAAAATATTGGATGTGAAATACCTGAACGTATAAGATGTCTGCATGTTGATTTATATTTACGAATGATGTCCTTGTACCGATGATAAAATATAGTAAATGTTTTGACTAGTTTGTGATATCGAAAACGCTGGTGTAATAATTTTTCAGTAATACAGAGATTTCTTTCGTTGAAATCAAATACGTTGTTACATACACGAGCGAATCGAACAAGTTGAGATATATAAACACCATAAGATGGCGACAAGGGAACGTCATCATCTAAAAATGGATAATTAACAATAGGAAATGAAAAATCATCTCTTTTATCATAAACTTTGGTATTAAGCTTCCCGTTAAAGATAAAGATATCAAGATCCAGGAAAGCGCAGTGTTCATTGTTAGTATAAGCTTTATTTAAAGTCAGTTCGGCAGGATATATCTCTTTAGTGTACATACTGAAGTCGTCATTATTGAGAGCCAATATATCATCTAAATATCTAAAAGTGTTATTAAATTTTTGAATCAGATGTTGTTTCGATGGGTCTTTGCTGATTTTAGTCATAAATTGTTACTCATAACAATACAGAAACAGGACCGCAATACGTGGTGCACAGTTAGTCCCCATGGGAATTCCGATAACCTGACGATATACGGAATCTCCATAGCGAACAAAAATGTTATCTAGTAAAAATTCAAGGGCAGTTATAGTATCAAATCAGGTCCAATTGACATAGTTCTTTTGTTTGTTGTTACTAAAAAATGACCTAAAAGAGTTTGAACATATATATTCGCATTCCGACTTCTTAAATGCCCATTTAATCAGGTGTGTGAATTTTTCTTAATAAAATTATGAGGCAACGTGGTATACAGGGTAGAAAAATCAAAACATTGAACAGATTCGAAATCACCAATATAAGCATGCAATTTATCAAGTACTTCCAACTAATTTTTGACACTCCAAAAGTAATTAATTCCACTATTTTCAAAGGCCTTATTTGAACAATTTATTACCAGGTTTTTGATTGTACCAAGTGTACTAGTAATTAGAATAGATAGTTTAGTAGTGGAACAATGGCTTGAAGGCGAAATAAATCTATATTTGCATGGAGTTTTATGCAGCTTCGGAAGCCAGTACACAGGCTGCTCATGACGTCTTTACACTAAATCCGTTGGAGATGTACTGATTGAAATTTTAGTCCGGGATAATATTGTTTTCTCATTATTTGAAACTGGCTTTAAAGTATCTTTCAGTAATTGCGAGTACTCTTTATTTGATTTGATTTTTGGTGTTTTAACGCCACTTTTAAGCACCGCTTTTGAGCTATTTCGTGGCGGCCAGTTTTTATTGGTGGAGGAAGCCGGAGTGCCCGGAGAAAACCACCGACCTTCGATAGGAAAACTGACAATCCTAGTCAATTAAGATTGGAGTCGAGTGCACCCACACGAGCGGGTTTCGAACTCACAACCTCAGTGTTGACTGGCTAGTGATTACAGTAGTAACTAATTAGACCACTCGGCCACCGAGGCCCGCAAGTACTCTTAAATCGGTACTTAGTGCCTTTTGTCTTTGTGTTGTTTGTTTTATGCTTACTACTTATCTGGTGAGTAATCTATTGATTTTTACACCTTGTTTTTATTGTTTTTATATTGTGTTGTTTCATTACTGTCTGACAAGCACAAACTTAATAAATATTTTTGCAATCTGTATGTGCTTGTTCAAATCCTGGCTGTCATATTAGTTTTCCCCTTTATTAATGTTGTATAAATCAGACCGTTTTTTATCTTTTAAACTATTACACGTTTATTCATACAGGGGCTTGTGATAGTTACTATATGCTATTTACATGCTCCTTGTATAAAGCTGTACGGTACCAGTTATAGTTAATAATTCTAACTTTTGGTCTGTATAGATAGTTGTCTTATTGGCATTCATACCAAATCTCCTTATGTTTATAGCTTATACTTATTTAATTGTACGTTTTAGGAACTATGATTGCACTGACACTCAAATTAAGTCTTAAAGTCATTCTAAAAAGTCTGTTAATTTAAAATGAAATGGCATTTCCATTTTCCTGACGTATTTTCAGAGTATACAAACTGGTGATGCTAATTTTGTATTTTTATTCATTAAAACATAAAATTCTTATTTCTGTTATGACTCCGATCCCTTACTGGCAATCTACATTTTATTCACAAGATAATCCAATGTTAAAAACCTGTTATTAAGAGAAAAAAAAGATTATCTGACAAAAAAAATATCCGTATCACCATAGACAAAATAGTTCAAACGATAGTCATGAATATTATTACAAAATAATTAGTTTTTTTCAAATCACTTTACAGGTTCGAAGACATGGGTTTTCTTCTGTTACTACTATTTATACTAGAAGTTCACTCACTGAACATTTCGCATGTTATCGAAGTGTATACCAGCGCTTGTGGATCTAAACTTTGTGATCGCTCTGAACAACCGGATGTTATCAAGAAATTGGATATATCTAAATGCCCTCGTTGTTATTGTGACAAACGATGTTTTTCTCGGGGGGATTGTTGTCCTGATTTCTTTTTTTCTTATCAGTTAAAATGCACAAACACAAACATTGTAGAAAAGAGTCCTCATAAAAACAGTACTTTTGTGCTGATGGTTGATACGTGTCCATCATTTGCCGACAACAAAACAAAGTACCTATGCGAAAAGAAGAACGACGATTTAATAGATCAAATACAAAATTTACCGGTAACTGATTCAAGGAATAATTTGATTTATAGAAATATTTATTGTGCGTTGTGTCATAATGAAACTAAAGAAAATTTTAGAAAGTGGCAGCTAGAAATTCAATGTTTAGATTTCGCCGATTTCAATTTTCTATCATCATATGAAGAAATCTTCAATACCGTCGATGACAAAAGATGTAACATTGGTTTCCACACCGATATTCCGACACAGGATATACCGGTATGTAACTCGGCGGAAGAAACACGAGTTCATAAATGCAATATTACTGGTACATGGACTAAGTATGATTCAGATGTAAAAACAGCATGTGAGACATATAATCAGAAAAGTTATCGCTTTTTCAAGAACGTGTTCTGTTTTATATGCAACCCTCCACGCAACCAAGATAATTTTATTTCTCAATGTAACATAACCGGTCTTTGGCAGCATTATGATTTTGATTTAGAAAACGCATGCAAAAAGGCTATGTCATCGACAATAATCCTTCCGTTTCGAAATATATATTGTTACATATGTAACAAAGGTAGAGTGAATGATTTAAATGATGTCTGCCGTATTCGCATACATATGAAAAAGGATTTTCGATTCGAATTTTCTTTGGAGTTTTTCGAAAGTACATTTACTAGTCATGTCATACATGTCAATTCTGGGAATTATAGGGACATTTACCCACAGATAGACGCCAACAATACGGAAGATTCCCCGAAAATAAACAGAAATCGTGAAGTCAATGTGACTAATCTTGCACGTTACTTCACGGCATTTACAGGTAGACTAAACGAAGTGTGCACTAATATAGATAGAGCATGTGACTGTAGCGATGACTGTCATTTTAAGCCAAATGGCTGCTGCATCGACAAAGCTTTCCAGAAACAAACAATTTGCTCAGATGAAATTGTGTCTGACCGCAAAACTTGTGTCCCATTGTATGCTTCTTGTTCTGAAGAAACAGCAAGAAATGTAAGTGATCTTTGTCATAGAAATAGAAGCATTGAAAATTTAGCATTTCTACCAATAGCTGTTACCAGTAGAGAGAGAGGATATACTCATTATAAAAACAGATATTGCGCTATTTGTTCTCATAAGAACGCACCATTTCAGTTTCAATCATGGGATTTGATACTGAGTTGTGATACATATATAAAAATCAGTTCCCTAAAAACTGTTTTGAAAACTTCAGACCTTGTGAAATTCGCTGGAAAAATAAATGTAAATTATCAATTGGACCACCAAAATCTGTAAATTCAATGAGTATTCAGTGCGTGGAAAAAAAATTTAGCAAATGTAATGTTACGGGACTATGGCATAGATTTGATTCAGACATTAAATATGTATGTGAAAATATGAACGCTCAGAAATTTTCTAGCATTTTCTGTCTCATTTGTAACCCTGATCGCCAGATTGAAACGTTAATTTCATCATGCAACATGAACATGAAATCGTCGATGAGTGATTATTATACAATAGAACACCTTTGTTTAACTCTTCCTGCAATTCCGAATTCTGCACCGTATAAAAATGAGTTCTGTAGACGATGTAATGAATATGCAAATCATTGGTATGCTGTTAGTTGGCTTATAACATCAAAACCCAAACAAACTGATTTACCTACATTCCGAGTTATATTTACATTAAAACTCCCAAAGAATGAAAACAATTTGGACAGTTCAAATGAAAGCAGTTGTGAGGACGTTTTTATCCAGGAAACGGTAAGAAATTTAAACAATTTACAGTCATTCATTCCAAAATTCAGTGAGGTCCATCTTATATTAATACTGGTTTGGTCATGTCCCTCATTTCAACACGCATTGGAAGATATGACTTATTAATTGTATTATGTGTAAATAGCGAAAATGCTAACTTTACCATATCAATTCACCTTTTTGCGCTCTTTCTTGAGTTTCTTGAGATTCTGGTTGTTTCTGTCGCATTTTCATCCATGGAACAAAATGTATCGATAAATATAAAGAGAAAGGTACTTATTCAATTACATAACTGATTTGTTGGGATTTGTGTTGCTCAGTGTTTTGTTTTCTGTGTAGCCTTTTGTGCACTTGTTTGTCTTTTTTGTTTATTCCTTCCTTTTTTTGCCATGGCGTTGTTGTCAGTTTATCTCAACTTATGAGTTTTGAATGTCCCCTTGGTATCTTCCGCCTTTTTTTTTTAGGGGAACAGTCACATTTAAAGGTAATGTTACTTGTTGATTTCTAATGTCTAGTGACAAGTAAATCTTGTTGTGCTTTTGTTGTAAGTTAAATCAATAGGGAGGAGAGCATATCTGGTCGATGCACTCATCATCATATTCCTGATTTGGGAATTAATACATATTTAGCGTTACATTATTTTGTTGATTATGTATAAAAGCTGAGGTGACAAATTTCAAGTCTGTATAATCAGAGTCGCTGCATCAGGGTTTTCTAACTTGAGTCAGAAAAAAAATATTTCGAAGCCTTTCTGTAAAAACATTATTCAATAAGAATAAATAGGCTTCTTCAGCTAAGTGTGATTTAACAAGTTGTGAACTGAACGACGATGAAGCATCTGTCGAAAACATTCTTATAAAAATTTGATCCATAATGTCATTTAGACATTTAAAAAGAGGCGCTGTATAATATATTGTTTAATTTCAGGGTGAATGTCGGAGCTTGAAGTGCTATCCAGGAAGAATTTTAATGAATGACGTTTGTATTCCACTACTTCCAACATCTACTAATCTTGGATATATATTAGCCGTCGGTATGAAAGGTTTACTGACAGAAACGATAAACTCGACTCGTTTATTTTTGCAATCCATTGATAAGTTTTTTCAAATGCACCTTTATGGGAATTTGGAACTCAAAATGTCCTCTAGTACCGCGTCATCACTTTTACTGACAGATTTAAGCTGCGGCACTGGAACAAAATGGGTAAATGGCACTGAACTAATTCTGTTTGGTCAGCTTACTATTTTTATATCAGAATATGTCAACCGATCTTCAGTTGAAATAAGCCTGTTACAAAATTTGAATACGCAATTTAACGTAACCCATGAAGGAGCTACATACACCTTTAATACGTATCCAGTCAGTGAAGCGTTCAATACTTATAGTTTAATAAGGAAGAATGGATTTACTAACAAATGTTTCAGAAAACAAACATATGCAATGAGGTATCGTGAAGCTAGTCCCGATTTATTTGTACATTCTCAGGTTACAAATCTTTTAACGTGCATTCAGGTAGAATTAAAATCATCAGAATTTGAAACTGATGGATTCAGTATGAATCTTACGTTCTTGAAAAATGGATTACAGTTAACACAAGATCAGTATATCTTAACAAGATTTAAAACAGCAAGGGTATGCTTGGACACATTTGAAATGTTGATGTCGATACGGTCAGCACCGAAAGAGCAAATAGACTTTTGGGGAATAATTTTAAGAATATGTACATTCGTTTCTCTAGTATGTTTGTTTGCAACATTCCTGACCTATTGCTTGTTTCCATCACTACGAACTGTTCCTGGAAAAAATAACATATGTTTAATATTTGCAATGTTCTGGGCCCATACTATTCTACAGTTAGGAGTTTTCGAGACCGAATTACTAATATTATGTAAAATGATAGGCATATTCTTACATTATTTTTGGCTGGTAACATTTGGATGCTTAAATATATGCTCTTACCATATGTACAAAGTGTTCACGAATAAAACATTCATCAGTTCAAATGAAAAATCGAACATTAAATTGTACATAGTATATTCGTATGGCATTCCAGCGATAATTGTGTGTTTTAATATTGTTATTAATACATTCATCACAAACGATAGAGATGTTGGATACGGTGGTAAGATATGTTTTATAAGCCAACCAATTTCTATAATTGTTACGTTTGTTGTACCGGTTTCACTTGTGTGTGTCTCTAACATACTATTCTTTGTATTCACTTCAGTGAAAATAGCAACTAGACCAAAGTTTCGAACAGAACATTCGACGAAGATAGATCGTGTGTATTTTACCGTGTACCTTAAATTATTTTCAGTCACAGGAATATCCTGGGTTTTACAAATAATTGATTCGTTTTTAATGACTTCAACTTTTTCCCACATCGTTTCGGTACTGAATGCTTTACAAGGAGTTTTTATATTCATTTCTTTTACCTGTAACAATCGTGTGCTGGCGCTGTACAAGACAATCTGTGGAGAAACAAGTCAACATTCAGAAAACAGTGGATCGCAATCAACACGTTTACCAATGTGCCTTACAGATACCACTAATGATTAATGAATCACGGGCTAAACAAACATTACCGCGTCCCTGAAAGACAACAAAACACTGTAAGGACGAAAATCCATTATTTACTATAATAATAAGTGTCATATGTCACGTGATAAATGTCTGTGTTGATTTTGTGACTGCTCTGAAAAAAAAATTTGATTTTGTGTTAGCAAGGATTACTTTATCTCGATTGAAGTGTGATTATCAAAGCTCAAAGTTTGTAACTGACATTTTGCGACATTTTCCGTGATTAGAAGTGGAATTTCAGGGCGATATGGCTCAATTTCTCCAATATTCTTTGTCTGACGGGAATGGCGCCAATCAGCTGGTCAACGATCAAATGTTTTATAGTCAGACAGCGACTGTAAGTAATGATTATATTCAACAACCTTTTAGAAAAAGACAATTATCAGAACAAAACATTAATGCATCAGACGCAAACGAACACAAGAAATTTAGACAATAATATCAAAGTAACATGTCGAGTGCACCTATCAACTCAACCCAAACAGATAGACTCGAATCGCTAATATTACAACTTAGTAGTCAACTATCATCAAATATAAATAGTGTGAGTGAAAAACTGGAAAAAAGGCTTGATGAGTTAGAAACAAACTTCGAAGACAGAGTGTCAGAAAAACTGTCAGAAAAAATTTCTGGTATGATCGACAACAGAATAAAGGAAAAGTAAGTTGAGGTTAGAACAGAAGTAAAATCAGACATGATTGCTATGCAGGCCAGAATTGACGGTTTAGAGAAGTCTTTGGCAGAGGTTAACAGTACCAAAGAAAATGATACACGAAAAAACAGATTCATCATTAAATTAAATATACCTCTTGTAAGGAGAGATAACAGGTTTATATAGATACAACTTACCTGCTTTGGAACAGAAATAAATATATTAGGATGTGAAATATAATTAACAAATACACATGCTTGGAAATGAAATACATAAGATTGTTGATGCCATCGACAGAACGAACTTACCGTAATGTCTTCCTGTTTCAATCGGTATAATAACCAATTCATTATTCAACTATCTAAAATAGACGATGCTGCTGCTGCTGCTGCTGCTGCTGCTGATGATGATGATAATGGTGTTTTGATAACTTAATGTTCGGTTGCAAATATTATATGCATATCTGAACGAGAATATTATAATGAGATATAAATATAAACCCTGATTCGTATTTATTAGCCTATCGCCGCGATATAGCCTCTTTGTGTTGGGGCGGCGTAAAACAAACAACAAATCAATTGTATTAGACTGATACGCTGAACCAGATTTTTGACATGTTAGTTAACAAGGTAACAGTCCACTGGAACACACAAGTCCCTTACCCGGACACATCGTTCTGCTTACGAGTCTTTGATCTAACATATTAAACCTTTATGTGACGTACTAAGCGGAAAAGCAGTCAATACCAAATTAGCAATTTTCAAGTCTTTAGTTTGACGCGACTTGCGATCGAACCAGAGGTGGATGCTTCCACGAGACCACCGGGACGGGACAGTTATAATTTATCTAAAATGATGATTATCAACAATAAACCAATATCTATAAAAAATTAATTCTAATGTATGATATAAAAGTCTGACAATGTCTCAATATAGTTTGATCAGCTATGTTAACTCTGTATCAATCGAATAACGTAACTAGCCATTTACCGTTTAAAAGAAGATAGCAAAACCTAGCAAGAAAAGAATTTTTTGTTCTTAAATGGCTGCAATAGGTATCGACAGAGATTGCTAATTTCTGTAGTGCATCCAAGATGTCTTGTTAAAGGTTTCGAACTTTATAACCTGAATTTGTTTTGTCCAATAAAAATTCAATGAGGAGATCAGGTGGGAAGCCAGGAAATGGAAAGATTAATGACGACTAGAAAGTTCATATAAAGTTTCATTTGCTTCAAATATTTCCCTTTTAACAATAATGCTAATTAATTAAGTCAACATTAAAGTGCAATATCTGAAGAAGAAAAATACACTTAAATAAAAAAGATATGAGAAGACAACTCTTATAATGTGCTTTTAGAAAATAAAAAGAAAACTTGTGTCGCCGCACTCGTTTTCTTGCTACAAAACAAAATATATAAATTTCCGGTACACTTCTTAAATCAAGTAAATTAAAATATATTTGAGATATCTTCCCTTTTTAAGTCACAGTGGAAAAAAATGAATAAAACAAATGATATTTTCTTTTTATAAAAACATTCGTAATAAGAATATAAATCACATAATTTCCTTGTTTAAATATAAATCTTACAAATGAATTGAATTCCTGTCTCAAAATTTGCATATTTGACCACAGATCGAGACCGAGTGTTTGCTGCTATTTTTACAATCCAAGTTGGCGGAAAATACCCGATCTACATTAAAACTTGAGGTATATCATTGACTTCGAGATTTATCATTCGGTGAACAAACTAGTAGTGACGTTTATGATTTCAATGACCGTATAATTTACTCGATTTATTTCACTTGACTGGGCGGGGTTTAACCGGTTCGCTTATCATAGACCAGTCCATCTATAGATAGGTGTTTTTGGATAAACTCATCAATGAAGTGTCCAGTTATGGTCATTGATCCGGATAACGTATGTAAACACTATGTGTGTATTCGCAAAGTAAATAGTGAGACACAGCCGTTAACTTTCTTGTGAAACGGAGTTTAAAAACATGTAATAATTGTCACATTTTGGAAACTGTGGATATGAAAGTATATATATATATAACTATGACGATGGCAGTTACAAAATATGCAAATGTTGTAATTCTATAACGTTTTGATAGTTTTTTTTTCTTCCTTTTATACCGAATGATTTTTTTTTGTTAGGGTGTGGGGAGGGCAGGGGGATAAGTTGCAAATGGTTCTTCGACCTTATTGATTTCCTTTATTGAACAACAACAAGAATTTTCGTTAAAGATTTTCCTTCAAGATTTTACTTGATGCATATTAAATGTAGCAAAAGGAAATTAAAGGGTTTAAGTTACAAATGCAAATAAATTACCAACAGAATTATCAGAATAACTTCCATTCTAAACCATGTTTTTATGCTATAAATTTTAAACTCTATTCGTCCCATATCATACACTCAGTTCTTGTGTATATCCGTTTCATAGTGATTAGAAATCAATAATAATTATAATTCAAATCAAATCAAATCAAATATTTTATTATTCCAATCAGGGTCCCACAGGGGTCATTTACCCTACTTAGATATAGGAAGATGTGGTATGAGTGCCAATGAGACAACTCTCCATCCAAGTTACAATTTATAAAAGTAAACCATTATAGGTCAAGGTATGTATTCAATTATTGAAAAAGTTATATACTGACCAATACAAAGAAAGTAGTAAAGTATTGATTTCTAGGACTCGTTTTATTACTTGTCTGGTACTTATGTTACAAACATATTTATCACAAGCTAAGATATCATTCAATTCTAGATAATTTATCTTTAGAGCAGAAACTTTTTGAATGAAAACAAACACTTGTGCATTAACCGGAAGTAGTTCTTTGTCTATGCAAGGATAATAGATTTGTTGTTAGATGGTCTCGAATCTTAAGGTCTAGAAAAATATATTTTCAACAATTATGATAGTATAAGCAACAAACATGAGACATTGTACAGTATATAACGTGACAGATATTATAATAGACAAATGGAAATAGTATTAATAACAAAAATACATTAAAAGTACTCTTGAGTTTTTTTGTTGTTTTTTTCTTTCCTTATTACCATTATTATTTCTATGTCCAGCAATGCAAAAATAAAAAAAAATATTAATAATAAAGTTTGAACAAATTATAACAGCAATCATCCTTATCACACACATCTTCAAATAGACTGTCCTTATCCTTATAAAACGTAAGCTCCGCCCGATCAGTTGAAAAAAGACATTGGTAATACTAATCTATCATGAATAACTGGTCATTTCTTAAGTCGTTGATTTGTTACCACAAATTACTTAAATCGTGTACTAAATTTTTTCACAGAAACAAAGACTTGGTTTGAAATCAAAAGACATGTATGTGTCCAAGGTTTGTAAGTTTCGACTGTATGTGCAAAAAATCTGATTACAAATGGGATATCATCTCCTTATTCTACGGTGTTGCTTTTATGGAGCTCGTAAATTTATTAATCCTTTGAACAAACTATTCCTAAAGGTTTAACAATTCAACATTGTAGTAAGATCCTTATTTATCGAATCTATCGGTTCGAACATTCTTAGTAAATAAAATCATAACTTCATGAGAATTTTTTTAAATACAATTACGAACCATTATATTCCTACATCCTGTTGATAATTATACCATAGCTCGGCTTTAAACAATGTCATGCTTTTCTTTTACTGTTTATAACATTATTTTTTTAATTATTGTTGATTAACTAA